ATCTTCAAAACTGGACCAATAAACAACATCATGGTAAGGAAGAAATGTTGAAGTTGTGAAGGATTTCATTTTACTTGAATCCACAATCAATATTCCTGGAAGCAGCTGTCAAGACATCAAACAATCTTTTGCATTGGGCACATCTGTTGAAAAAGATCTCTTTAAAGTGGAAGAACAATATCACTTTAAGGACTAAGGTAGGCCTGACCCAAGCCATGATATTTTTAATCATCTCATTTGTTGTTGTTGTTATGTGCCTTGGAGTCGGTTCTGACCCATAGAGCCCTGTACAGGGTTTCCGAGGCTGTAAATCTTTACGGGAGCAGAAAGTCTCCTCTTTCTCCCGCGAAGCAGCTGGTAGTTTCGAACTGCTGACCTTAAGGTTCACAGTCAATTCGTAACCACTACGCTACCAGAGCTCCTTATATACATGTTAAATCTGGACAATGGGTAAGGAAGATCACAGAAGAAATTTGAATTATGGTGTTAGCAAAGAATATGTAAATTCCCATGGACTGTCAGAAGAACAAACAAATTGTCTTGAAAGAAGTACAACCAAAACGCTCCTTAGAGGGGAGGCTGGTGAGATTTTGTCTCACATACTTTAGACATGTTATCAGGAGGCACCAGTCCCTAGAAAAGGGTATCATGCTCAGTAGAGGGCCAGTCAAAAAAAGAAAGACACTCAATGAGATGGATTAACACAGGGTCAGCAACAATGGACTCAAACATAACAATTGTGAGAATGGCGAAGGATTAGGCAATGTTTTGTTCTACTGTGCATAGGGTTGTGCTGTGAGTTGGAAAAAACTCTATGGTACCTAACAACAACAACAAAAAAAAACTGTATAGCAAATCACCCCAAACTTCATGGTTTAAGATTACAAACTCATTGATAATCTCTCACAGTTTCTGTTAGTAGGAATTTGAGTGCAGTTTGGCTGGGAAACTCTGGCACAGTGTTACTCATATAGTTGCAGTCCTATGTTAGCTGGGGGCTACAGCCATCTATCCAGCTATATAGCTGGTAAGTTAGTGCTGGCTGAGGGGCCTCAGTTCCTTTCCACATGGACCTCCCCACATCGAGTATCCTTACAACATGGTAGCTGACTTCCACTAAAGCAAGCAATCCAAGAGACCAAAGTAGAAACTACAAGACCTAGGCTTGGAAGTCACACAAGGGACCACTCCAGATTCAGTATTGGGAAGAAGACAACACAAGATTGTGAGTACCAGCAAGCAAGATCCCTTGAGAACCATCACTGAAACTGGTGATGCTAGGGTGCTTTCCCCCTCACCCTCCCAAGCTTGCTGCCTACTCCGTCAATTCTAGGCCTTGGCAAAGACCATTCTCTCTGCCAGATATAATCTCTTCCTCTCCCATCCCCTGTCAGCTCCAGCTTACCTTTCAAGTCTTAACACAGGGACCAGCGCTGGCTTTGTGGGGTCAGTGGTTTGGTGGTTATGTACTGTAGAGTCGTTTCCAACTCATAGTGACCCTGTATAGGGTTTCTGAGGCTGTAAATCATTTTGGGAGCAGAAAGCCTCATTTTTCTCCTGCGGAACCACTGGTAGTTTCGAACTGCTGACCATGAACTTAGCCCAACTCGTAACCACTATGATACCAGAGCTCCTTTTGTGTGTGGGGCCAGATATATATATATATAGTTTTATGAGGGAAGTCTTTCAAAGATGAATAAAACAAAAGTATTTTGCTTTTCCAAAGGTTGTAAATAACACAACGACTAGTGGATCCTTCCCAAGGCCTTGAAAGGTGCCCGTGTAAAAAGCATGGCCCTGAGGTGTATGCTTCACAGCAAGACTTCTCCAGTCTCAACTTTGATGTCACTTCCACAGGGAGCTCCCTGACCCCAGTAACAAATTCACTGCTTCTGTCTTCCCCTGTGACACACAATTAGGAGTTTGACATTCTTTTTCATAACAAGGGACTATGCCTTATTCAGAAATGTTTTTTTATGTGTTCACTCTGTGCCAGACACTGTACTAAATGTTATGAGTATAGCAGTGAATCAGATTCAAATAAAGTTCCTTGGAATCTACATTCTGGTGTAGGGAGAGAAGCAATAAGTAGATAAACAAGAACACAAGAAGGATCATTTCAGCTAGTGAAGAAAGTGGAGCTGGGTAACAGGAGGCCAAGGAAGGCTGTTCTGAGGAGCTGAGATCTGAGAGATGAGGAGAAACAGTCTGGGAGTCCTGAGGGGATATGTGTTCTTGACTGAGGGAACAGCAAGTGCAAAGGTCCTGAGGCAAAACCAAGGTTTGGTTGTACAAGGAAAAGCAGGAAGCCAGGAGGGGTTGAGTACAGTGATGATGAGGAGGAAGGGGATGATGAGAACAGAGAGGTAAGCAAATCCTGTAGGAACTTACAGAATAGGCAAGACCATTTATGTTTACTTTTTTTATTCAAGTAAAATTCACATAACATAGAATTCACCATTTTAAAGAGCACAGTTCCATGGCATTTGACACATTCTCAATGTTCCATGACCATTACCTTTTTGTAATTCCAGGTTTTATTTAAGTCAGTAAGAAGCCATTGGAGGTTCTGAGCAGGGAGCTCTGAGTGTGTTTAGCGATGGTTCACCCCACAGTCCTCTGTTCTCACTACCCCCCAGCAAGGCACATTGTGCTTCCTTAGGCCATACCCTCCTTTCTCCCCTTTTCACAAGATTTATCCCAAGACTCTCACCCCTTTCCCTCTCAAACTCTTTCTTCTTTGCTCTTCAGAACAAACCAGCTAAGACTGGAGGATGCCAGAAGAACGGAGAGATAGGAGCAAGAAAGGGCTTTTAATTTCCATCATTGAGTGTCAAAAGGCAATTTCATGCCTGCTGACGAGATTAGGGCAGTGCAAGTAATAGAGTCTGGCAGCTAATGGGGTACTGGCTCCTGAGGATTTGTAGCTCCAGCTTCTTTTCCTAACAGAAACAAGAATTTCTAGTGGCTTTTAACCCTGCCTTCCACTCATAGCTGCTGCACTTCAGTGCCCTGTGGCATGGATCGTGTGATTAGTGAAGATGACAACAATTTGCCAGAGACCACAGAGTTAACTCTGCATTCAGCATCCTCTGCTTCTGTGGTCTGTCGCTGGAGCCATGCAGGGCTAGCATTCAGTTCTGTATGTACTGTGGTGGAAAACGTGTGCTGATCACCCAGGTCTGAATCCCAGCCATGGGACCTAGGACAAGTGGCCCAATGTCTCTGTAAAGGTACACAGTAGGGACATTGTGAGGCGTGAACAAGGTTGTGCAGGCACATAGTAGGTGTGGTGTGAGGACTGAGGAGGTAAAGTGGGCACATGATAGGGTTGTTATGAGAATTGAATGAAGTCACACAGACACACCATAGTATCAGCGCAGTATGGGGACTGAATGAGATAAGTTGAGCACATGGTAAGCACTGTGTAAGGAACGAATCAGGAAATGGCATAAAAGTGTGGATATTGTGAGGACTGAAGGAGGTAAACAGGCATATATTTGAGTGGGTAGAGTGGGTGTAGCAATGGTTTGTGGACAGAATGAGGTGTGATATGACCTGGTAGGCATGGTGTAAGGACTGAATGAGGTCACACAGGCACACAGAAGGCCTGGTGTGAGGACTGACTGAGGTAAAGTGGGCACCCAGCAGGCATAGTGTGACGCGTGAATGACGTAAAGTGCACACACAGAAGGCCTGGTGTGACTGAACGAGGTCCTGGGGGCACATGGTAGGCACATTGTAAGGACTGAACACAAGTACACAACAACACAAGTATGCAGTAGAAATGGTGTGAGGACCATATGAGGTAACGTGGGCATATAGCAGAAACAGTAGGAAGACTGAATAAGGTAATGCTAGCACACCGTAGGCATTATGTTAAGATTTGCTATAAAGTGAAAAGGTCAAGAGGATTATGAGGTAGAACTCAATGCTATAGGAACTGTTGAGGCTGTAAATCTTGATTATTGTTGTTATTAAGTGCCATTAGAGTGACCCTGGATTCATAGTGACCTTATGCATACCAGAAGGAAACACTGCCTGGTACTGCACCAGCCTCACAATTGTTGGTAAACTTCAGTCCATTGCTGCTATCACTGGGTCAGGCCATCTCTTTGTGGGGTCTTTCTCTTTTTTTGTTGACCCTCCATTTTATCAAACATAATGTCTTTCTGCAGGGACTGATCCCTCCTGATAATATATCCATATCTGAAGTATGAGAGATGAAGTCTGGCCATCCTGGCTTCTAAGGAGCATTCTGAATGTACTTCTTCCAACACAGATTTGTTTGTTCTTATGACAGACCCTGATACTTTCAATATTTTTCTCTAACACCGTAACTCAAATGCATCAATTTTTGTTCAGTCTTCCTTATTCATTGTCTAGTTTTCACATGCATATGAGATTATTGAAAATACCATGACTTACGTCAGGTGCACCTTAGTCTTCAAACTGACATCTTTGCTCTTGAACACTTTAAAGAAGTCTTGTGCAGCAGATTTGTCTAACATAATACATCTTAATTCCTATGTAAAATCAAGTGAGTTTTATAAAACTACTTGGCAACTAGCTTGAATGTCTGAAAAACATTGTATGGTTCACACATAATGTCCTCTGTCAGACAGGTGTTGAGGTCAACCTGAGATCCAGAACTTTAAATCCCCCACCGAAAATTGTTTCCACTCCAGTTATAGAAGTCTACCATTCTGTATTCTCTTTCTGAGAACACCATCACCCTCCAGATCCCCAGATTCTACAAATGTCACTTATGTATTGTATATTGAACACTAAGCACTTAATAAAAATAATCTCACCAAAACCTGTGAGAGAGATTCACATGTCCCACTGTACAGATGATCAAACTGGGGCTCTGAGAGATATGACTCTTTTGCCCAGTCTCCCAGCCAGTGAATTTCTCAGCAGGGCTTTGAACTGCAGATCATGTGTCTTATCAATACTTTATACTGCCCAACCTCACACTTCTCCAAATTGCTTTTTAGGCTCCAGGCAGGCTGGTCCATCCACTCCAGTGGCCAGCCTGACCGGCAGAAGAAGCAGGAAGAGCTGACAGATGAGGAGAAGGAAATCATCAACAGGGTAATCGCTAGAGCTGAGAAGATGGAAGAGATGGAACAGGAGCGAATTGGGTGAGGCTTGACACTTCCCATTCATTTCAAGAGTCACTAGGGGACGAGGGCCAGGACCCAGGGTCCTTGTCAGGAGCTGTGATGCTGGTGTGCTGGGTAGGAAAGCCCTGCCTTTGGGATTTGTCATCTGTAGTTTTTTCAGGTCAGCCACCCAGAAAGAACTGGACTCCTAGTCCCAGGAAGTAGGAGAGCTGAAAAAGGAGAATAGGGAAGAGAGGAGAGAGTGGAATGCAAATTGTCTAGGCAAGGGACTTTATTGCTGAAATGGCTTGAAGAAGGGTAAGGGAACCATCTTCTGAAGGGGAAATGGAAGCTTATCTCTGGAGGATGAGCAGAAGGTGTCATAGTCAAGTACAGCTTCCTAGAGGTGTGTTCCAGAAATACTGACCTTGTAAATGCCAGATGCACAGCTGAAGGTGAGGTAAGGAGGAGAGAGAACTGCATATAAAAGAGAGCTTGTTTGAAATTAATTCTATAAACATGTGGGAGAAGAAACCCATAAAAGGTGGGCAATATGTAAGTGAGGCAGCAGATGTTAATCTAGGGGATCTGGGCCCAATGAGACTGAGGTTTCATCCAGCTCCCTACTTGCTTGCTGTGGCTCTTGGGTGCATCACTTCATCTCCTGGAGCCTCAGTTTGCTCCCTGGTAAAGGGGACAATAACAGTAATCATCCCACAGAGTTGTTGTAAGGATTTGGTGAAATGATGACTGTATTGGCAAAAAGTGTTTCCGAAATGGTAGGAAGAAGGAAGAAAGTGGGGCTCAGAGGGCAGAGAAGATGAATAAATGCTATCATAAAGCTATGTTATGTGTAGGTAAGAGCATAATACAATCAAGCAAAAACTGTGATGGAGAGAACAGCAGATATATGTGGGTGAGCTTAAAAGGGGGGTGGGAAAAGTGTGAATGGTGATCAGAATGGAAGGAGCTGAGAGGAGAGAGACTAGGAGAAAAGATAATTCCAATAACTGATTGGAATACCTTAAAGGGGGCTAGAAGTTGACCAGTGAAAGAGGCTTCCTGTGGAGCCTCTGCATTGCATAAGACCCTAGGTGGAATCCTGAACCCCATCCAGAATCTTCTGAGGTAAGTGTGTCTGGGGGGCTCATGGCACAGTAGAAACTTGGTCTGGTTCCCTAGCCAGCAGCAGTATATGCTGGTAAACTGTCAGCTGGTCATTGGGGTGGTCCTCGCAGGCTGTGATCTCAAGCTGGAAATGAGAGGAAGTACTAGGACCTCCATCCCCAGGTCCTTTCCACAAGGGGTAGCCTTTACCACCTGTTTACACCTGGTGTAGGCACTGGGTGTCTGCTTATCTCCCTCCATACACACATACTCAACTGGGGCGAAGTGTCTCCGGAGGAAAGTAATGCTATGAAAGAACAGGATGTGGGCACCTCTGATTTGAGCTTCTGCAGTTAATTTCATGATGGGCAAGCAGGAGACATCAGAGGTGCTATTGACAATTGACAAATCTCTGTCATAGGCCATGTCAGCTTGGGCTCGACACTGTCACTTCCTCAGACACTGGGAGATATCTTGAGGGCTTGCTTATAGGGTTGAGTTCTTATTTTACTGCTTAAAAGTGTGGAAATTTCCAGACTGAAGGGTGTGACTCTGTGTGTATCTGTGTGTGTACATAGTCACTTCACACAAGAATGGGCCTCAAGCCTTGTAGGAGGGGGAGTATAGATTTTAAAGGGAAAAGCTTGGTTTTTGGAAGCAAGAACTCCCCTCACATTTTGCATACGGCCCACTACCAGCTGACATCTTTCACAATTGACACATTTATTGTACGTCTCTCCCACCACCACTAGATGATAAGATCCCTGAGGGCAAGAGGTTTTTCCTGTTTTGTTCACTGTTGTACCCACTTACTACCACTTAACTTCTGGCAATAAAATGTTTATTGAATGAATGACTGAACAGCATAGCCAACAATGATGCCCCCTCCGCCCACCACTCTTCCATTCCACATCTTTTGTTGCCAAGAGACTGGAGAGTTTAGAATCTTATTGTCCAGAGCCCAAATTCCCAGAGAAGAAATTGATTGGCTGGCATATGTCAGGTGCTATCCCTCATTCAATCAGCTGTAGCTATGGGTGTCAGACCATGATATACAAACACTGTTGCCTCTGAGGGTCAAGTTAAAGGGGCCTCTGAATGGGGAAAAGCTCAGCTTGAATGTTCTGGACCAGGGTAGATGGTGTACCTGACTTGTCTTCCATGTCCTTCCAAATTCCCTAGATTCACCTGGTGGCATGGTGAATAGCATAATGGATTAGATCTGGAGTCCCAAAGTCAGACAGAGCTCTACTCAAATTTCAGTTCTGCCATTTGCTACCTGTGAGGTCTTAGGTAAGCCACTTTAACCTCTCCAAACCTCAGTTTCCACATTTGCAGAATGAGGATAGCATTCGTACATATGTCTTCGTGATGTTTAATTAGTGTGCCAAGGATCATTGTGGCACCTGACACAGAACAAATACCCAAGAAATGGTAGCAATTACTTAACGATGAGCTTGCTGAGGAAGCTGTGGTTGACATTGGCCAAGGCCTTTGTTCTAGAATTATAGCCTACCATTCCTACTTGGCAAGCCCTTGAATTTCAGCTACCCCTGGCTTCTCCTGGAGACTTGAGTGGCTTCCAGGGAAGCCTGGCCAAATCTTTGGTGACTGAATGTACCTTTGCTGCATGGTGTATTTTCTGCCTGATTTCCCCCAGAGGGGAAGGTGCAGGGAAGGATTCTAGCCATGGCTGTTTCCTTACACTCTCCAGCAGCCAGACCTCGCTAGCAGCATCGCCAGAGGCAAACTCAATTCTATTTGTGTTTTATAAGCTCTAACCTGGCCTAATTCCTGTTCTACCCACACTTCTCTGGGAGGAAATCACAGGGGAGCCAGTTGAAAGGGAAGCCAAACATCCTAACAGGGGTGAGGAGAGTTTGGAGTGCCATCTGGGGTTCCCCCTTCAAGACCTAGGGCTGTCCATGAATGAGCATTTGGGAGCTCAGTTGCCCCACCTATCAAATGAGACGGATCAGCCTGATTCTCAGGATCATTCCAGCTTAACCCTACAGTATTTGGAGTGTCAGGAGAAGGACCCCATGCCTTGCTATGTTGTCTGTACCTATCAAAGCAAATATTGTTGTTGTTAGGTATACAACCCCATATATAACAGGATAAAATGGTGTGTGGTCCTGTGCCATCCTCACATCAGCTCTGAGAGACTGAATTGCCTTCTCTGTAGCCTAAATGAAAGTCATCCAGGATAGGTGTGATATCTTCATAATTAATACACATGATAAATGATTTCTATAAAGGGTACCACTGATGAACGCTTACTGTGTGCCAACAGTTTTATATGGATTAGCTCATGAGATACTCCTTTCAGCCTGATGAAGCACATTATTATTCTTATCCCCATTTTGCTTGTGAGGAAACTAAGGTTTAGGAGGCCTAGGTCACATGCACAAGATTCCATTGAGTCAAGATGCATGAGTCTGGCTGGCTGACTCTCTGGATTATTCTCTTAACTATTAGATGTGTTGCTCCTGAAGGTCTGTCCCTGGCTGAAATGCTAGGCTCTTGGAGAACCTAGAAAAAAAAATTTTTTTCACATCAGTTTTTTTTAAAAAAATTTTTACTTTTGAACATTTACAAAGCAAATAAGTTGTCCATTCAACAATTATTATAATTTCGTTTCATGTCGTTACAATCCCCACAATATAACATCATTTATCCCACATTCTACCTGTATTTCCTGTTGCCATTCCTCCTTCTTTCCTAACCTTTCTGAACTTTGTCCATGGGCAAGTGTTGCCCTTTTGATCTCAAGTGATTGATTATTCTAAGGAAAGTGTACCTCCCTAGTATTTTAGTTCCCCTCCTAGACCTGTCTATTGTTTGGCTGGTTACTAAGCCACGGACAAAGTTCTAGTCCTAAACAGTAATTAAGGAAGGGCCAGTCCTAGAGGGTGAGTAAGGGCCATAGTCTCAGGGGTTCCTTGAATCTCTATCTAACCCAGGAGTGAGGAACCTTTTTCCTGCCAAGGGCCATTTGGATAGTTATAGCATCCGTGGCCCATACAAGAGTATCAGCTTAAAAATTAGCCTGCTGTGTTTGGATGACTGGAACTGCAGTTGCTGGGCCAGACTAAATGATTTAGGTTCAAGCTCACCAACTGCTCCTCAGAAACTCTATACAGGATGGCTATGGACTCGATGGCATAACAACAATAACATACAACCTGCAGGCTGGATGTTCCCCACCCCTGATCTAACCAATAAGCTTGGTCTTTCTTTTTTATTATTTTGACTTTTGTTTCACAGTTTTCTTCCATTCCATCCAGCACCTTCAAAAGTGATCCCTTTCAGGAAATGTGAATAGGTCTCTCGTGATACAATAGTGAATAATTGTTATCAGGACTGATTGTGAGGGCTGGAAATGTAAAGGTAGATGTTTTGCAGCAAGGAGGGGAGTGATTGACTTTTCAGTCTAAGAGTGGAGGTCCCTGGGACCATCAAGGGAGAAGAGCAGAGAGTGGGACCCTACCTAGAGAAACAGTGATGCCTGAGATGGAGGCAGAGTCGTTGATGACGTGGAGAGATGGAGCAGCTGGGGACTTTAGATCCAGAGAGGGAGAGGGGCTGTGTGCTGAAGACTGGGGGGCAGGCTTGTATACCCTTTGGTTGGTTGATGATGCATGGAGGGGATTGTAGTCATGGCAATGAAATGATATAGGATAGGATGAGTGTAAAACTAATGTTCTCCCATGTAAACTATCACATAATTCACAATAAAACATTAAAAAAAAAAAAAAAAGTCATCCCTTTCAGCTAAGCAATTGGCATTGGTAGCCAGGCATCATCAAATTCATCTGGTCTCAGGGTCATGGAAGCTGAGGTTCATGTGGTCCATTAGTCCATTGGGTTAATGGATTCCATACTCCTATGATTTTCTTCACTCTTCTTTGCTCTGGACAAGGAGAGACCAA